TATCTGCAAGGTTGGTAGCTCAATCCCACCAATAGTTCACTCCACAAGATAAAGATGAGACTATTTGGTCCTGAAAAGATTTACAGATGAAAAGCTGAAGCACATGGAATCCAGAAAATCACTTGGTTTGAATGACGCTTATTTCAAATTAAAGCACACTCTAATCTGACTCATGAAATGAAGCAATAGTTTCATTTCAGAACTTTCTACATGTATATATATATATAACACAAGTCACTTGTCAGGATAGTTTAGACAATACCCACTGGATGGTGTGTGTGTGTGTGTGTGTGTGTGTGTACTATATCCTAAAAGAAATGGATGCTTGGCGAGGAGGTTATAATATTATTTCTGGTAGAAGAAACTATCTTGGCTACATGTTGGCTATATATTGACACTTATGAATAGGCCTATAAACTTACTGCTTTTGAGTTGATTCTGACTCATAGTGACTCTATAAGACAGAGTAGAGTTTTCAAGGTTCTTTGAGTTTTCAAGGTTGTAAATCTTTATGGGAGTGGTGGATCATCTCATCCTTCTCCCATGCAACTACTGGTGTATTTAAACTACTGATGTTGAGATAAGTATGCCAACATGTAACCCACTAAACCGCCAGGGCTACTTTGAAAAAGTCTAAATGGCTAATTAAAAAGAATAAAGCTGAAAAAGTATTCAGATCCCTTTATGACATATCAGGAATTAGAGAAATCCATTGCCTGGTGAAACTGAAAGAAATTCAAGATTATCTAACATAGTGCTATCCAGTACAATATTCTGCAATAATGGAAATGAACTATCTTCACTATTTAAGACTGTAACCATTAGTCATATGTGGACAAATGTGAGTAGTACAACTGAGTTGTTTATTCTGTTTCATTTAAATAGCTAGTGACTATTATATTGGGCAGCACAAAAGTGTGGCTTAATAAAATGAATGTAAAATGTGGAGCTAGAAAGATCCTGGCTACTGCCATTTACTAATGATGCAATTTTGATGGTGCAACTAACCGTGTTCATGTCTCAGTTACCTCATTTGTAAATGAGGATAATACCAGTAACTTACAAGGTTGTTGTGATTTGAAAATACATACAAAACACCTAGCCCAGTGCAAAACACATGGTTAAGAGTCAGTAAATTAGATTTCATATAATCAAGCTCCACATTTTTCAGATCAGGAAACTGAAGTTCCAAAAATAGAAGGGATTTGTCCACTAATTAGAAGCAGAGCCAAGAAGCAATTCTAGATTTTAAAAACTTCTGTCTATGCAAGTTTTCTCTTATAAATTAATCCCCCATACTTGTGATAAATTATAGACAAATGGGTTATTCAAGTGTTGTAAAAAATGTAGAGAGAATTGGAAGAAAACGTACCTTGGTGAAGCCTATTTGCTCTTTCCGGAAATTTTCCAAGGGCTTGATCAGCAAATCATTAGCATTGTGTACCTAGAGAAAAAGAATAAGCACCAAAAACAACTTTTAGATAAACAAGGTTCCAATATACGATTTGAACCTTAAACAAGGTTCAAATATACGATTCTTTGTTCCTAAAGCAATTTCCTTGCAAAATGTTAATAAGTTTCTTGGTTAGTATATTTGATTTTGGTAGTCTTTATTCCATATTGAGCTTAGAAAATGAAATACTTAGGAAATAAAAGAAAACTAAGTGAATTTTTCTAGAACTTTACTGACAATCTGATTTGAGTTTTAATCTATAATATCCAGAGGATTTGGAACAAAGGATATCATTGGCAAAGTCAGAGGGACCTTGGCTGAAAGCAGAGAATATTAGAAAGATGTCTACTTGTGTTTCATTGCCTATGCCAAAGCATTAGGCTCTGTGGATCATAAT